TGGTTTAGTAGACTACATTATTTTAGTATATATATTATTGCTATTTTTGAAATAAGTTCTTAAACTTATTTTTCCTAAAACAAAGAACAGTAAATAAAGAAGTAAAGCAAACGATTGTCTCTTCTAGTTATGATCTTTGTACTCGATTGCTGTTTGATGTATGTTGCTAAGCCTTTAAAGATTTTACACGTGGAGGATATGAAACAAAATATTTTTTTGAGATTATATATATGCATTTGAATAACTAAAAAATCATAAATTACTACATCAATACCATAGAATTTCACTATAATTCATCAAGCTTAGTAACTAAGATGTATTTTAGTCTAAAAAAATATTAAATTTCGAGCAGACTAAAGACACACTCTACCTATGTTGAAATATTGGTTTAAAAGAAAGGAATGGTGCCAAGTCCATTAAAATGGCTCAGAAAGCCACTAGGGGACATTCTGAGCTTCTGATTGGTTATTCCTGTCATATATAGAAGTGTATATAAGTGAAGTGTTTCCAAAAATGGAAAGTGGTGGGCGAGGTGCCACTGTGTTTGATTTATTGCATGAGCAATATCTTAACAAATAGAAAAGATAAGATATTCTTATTTTATATTCTAGCTTAGCATGATTGGTAATTTGAGCTTCTAATTCGTACAAACTATAGACTTAGTATTTTGACTTCACAAACATCTAATTTGAACCAGTGCTGCATTCAGCATACCACATGACACATAAAAATCAATGTTTATCTGTGTTTTTTAAATTTGCTTTTAAATTAAGAAATTGAGTAATATATAGTACTAAAATTTGAATTATAATCTACAGTTTGATACATCAAACTTATTGACATAAATTCATGAAGTAGTAGTTTAATAAAATTTTGAATGCGAGTCGACAAACAAGATGACATGGCCTTTCACTCGTGACTTGTATCAAAAGGGTTAAGCAGTAACAACTGTTTGTTATTAAACACAAAGCTACACAATGGGCTGTCTGTGCTGTGCACGCAGTTGGTACTGAAACCTGATTTTTTAGAGTTACAAGCATTCAGACTTATTGCTAAGCAACTGGGGAGTAGCAATAACACACAATGCCAATAAAGAAAATATAACTTTTTGAGCACTTAAAAGACAGTAACAGTTTCACAGTTATGTATAAATGAGATTGGCCTACCAAGGTTGAGACATGAATCTTCAACCAAGATCTATGATATCAAAAAGGAACTGGATAATCACTCTATTGTCAAAAGTTATGAACTTCAATTTCCATTACATCACTTCATCGGAATTTCCGAGAAGTGAAAAAAAAAAAGAAAAAAAAGGCAATGAGAGATTTGACATTAATGACAGAACTATGACACCTGATTTTTATTCTTTAGTAGTAGTAATACTGAATTGGGCCACAAGGGTAACTATATCCAATCCTACCTTTACTTAGTTTATATTTACAAAACTAACTAATTTACTTCCTTCCACCCATCCATCTTTTATCTACAATTTAAAACATTCTACTATAATTGAACTAATCTGAGAAGTTATGTCACACAAAAAAATACCTTTCAAACAGTTTGCAAAGTTTATTTCATACATAAACCTATCAAAATGGATAAGCTAACTCACATGAGGAGAAACGGAGAAATCGATCCAGTCTACTTACACTTTGGATGTGCTTAAAATCCTAGAACCTAAAAGAATCACAGCTCAACTTACCAGAAAAATAATAGTAAATAATAGCATTCCGCCCAACATCCTTATCTATTGCCTTTACTGCTCCAACCACTGTGTCAAGAGGTACTTCTTCTTTGATCTTCATTTCCACAGGTTCCGAATTCTGAAATTAAAAACATTTGAACAATATCTGAATATCAGTAGTAAAATGGAGAACTTTAAGTATGATGTAACAATTACAGTTAACATATCAATTATATTTTATCAACTAGTCCAAATACATTTTGATCAATGTTAGGAATTTTGTTTATTCCAGAAACATCACACTTGTTATTTCACACCTCTATACTTCTCAGTTACTGAAGGTTATCAGTTCTGTCAACAATAGTATGACATCAGCTAACCTATTTTGCCTTTGCTATTTTATGTAAACACTGTAGTTACCATTAAATACTGCTTGTAATACCAATGCAGACCTTATATACTGATACATGCAAAACATGCTTCAAAACTTGTTTCACCTTATTCTGCTTTATTCAGTATAATATGGAAATCATCCTTCAGATCTTACGATAAGAAACTATTTTGTGCAACATGAATTAATAAGCAAAACCTAGAAATTATTCCCTTTTCACAATCATGCCCTACTAGATTGCTGTACAGATATTTTTGTGTATTAAAAAGTTATTTATAGTATATTTAGTAAAAAAAAATGTAATATACAAGCCTTTTGATACAACAATTGTTATGGTCCTTAATGGTTATTGTCCCTAATACTAGGCATACACACCATAACAATTGTTGTTGTATCAAACAGCTGAAATAAATAGTGTTCCAACCATTGCTGTGGTTGTTTTATCCCAGCTGACCTCAATCGTTCTAGATTAAGTGAAACGAGTCATTAGCAATGGATATGATGAATATAGTGTGGTTGGAATATTAATAATATTATACACTCTTCTAATTCTTGAAAATCTCTAAAGGACTAGATAAAGAGTGTAGTGTTTAAAAACATATTAAGCCTAATACTAACATCTTATGACAAGTATAAATGTATAAGCCCTGAAAAAGCCACAATAGTGAAAAATAAGTTGAAATAAAAAACTGTTTATTAAAATCATTTGAAGAGTAAATGTAATTTTTCCTAAAATTTATTGTTGAAAATTTCTTAACCTCTCCATCATGCACTACAAATTCTGAAAAATGTAATGCAAGTATAACTCTTCAATAAGTAACCAAACAATATATTTTAATGTTTTGCTTTATACTAAAAAAAGTAATTGTAGACAAGTTCTGAAGATGAAAAGATTAACATTAATATTGCAAAAGTCCATTTTAATATAATAACATGTCTGTATAAATCATGACTTTTAACATTTTGTTCTCAAAATATCTAACAACATGTAGATGCATCAAAATTTAATTTACCACGGGTCGGTTGAACTGGGGATCATTATCATCTACATCCAAAATAAAAATTCTCAATACTCTGTGAGCCTCTTGAGGGGGAAATCCTAAGTCATGAGCCACTACAATCATCTGAAATAACAATTCCATATGTTAATTATGATCTTCTAACCGTAACTTTCAGCAGTCTTCATAAATAATTTTCCCATTTGATTTGAACATTAATATATTTTAAAGTTAACATATATAATACAATGAAAAAGAGCAAAAAAACTTTAATGTTTTCAAAGTCTTTCTTTTTTCTGTTTTTACTTTAAATCATACATATATTTTGCAATAATCACTTTATTTTAAAAGCTTTTTAACTAAAATTTTCTAGCATTATTTTCATTTAATAAAACTGTTTAAAAACCTATTTGTGTTTATCTCTCTATTATTATTAATTAAACAGCACAATACTTTTATGTCAAGTTTTAAAAATTCTACACAAGTGTAACATTCACATTCTAATTATCTTTCAAAAATATTCAGCAGATTCTATAATCTTGTAAAAATATCTGTAAAAATTAGTTATAATTCCTAAGTTCAAGTAATTAAAATAATGCCACTAACTTTAAATTAAAATAAAATATATACTCTAATGAAGGCAAATTTATGTTATTTAGTAGTTAAAAATTTACATACATTAACAAAAACTTAGTTACTATAAAAGTAACAAAGTCAAGCCATAAGAATTATAGTAAAGTTAAACCATGATTAATATAAAATGAGTTGCAACATAAACAATTAGAAGAACTAAAATATAGTAATTACACAATACTAATACAGTGGTTGGATATTCTCCATGTTAAAAATGTTTTTTGTTTTATCACAGTCTCATACTGATGTTACATAATTATCATTTTCAAATAAAATGATTAATCTGACGTTAACCCAAAGTTAGATATTTGAAAAAGTTCACCATAAAGTTACCAACTAAAACAAAGACCAATCAAAATACCAATTTACAGGCTTTAATATGAATAACTTACATAATCCAAGTAACGTAATTAAATTTATTATTTCTGTTCTGTGAAATTTACAACAAAGAAATTAGTGTGTTTATTTAAATACAATATTACTTGGTATAGTTTTTAAAATATACACACATTTATGCTCTTTCATTTCAGATCTAAAGCCATATACAACTCCACTGGGTGACAATATCATTGACCTAGTTGGTGTAATGATGGCTACAATTGCTTAAAACTGTAGTTTTTAGCTGGTTATGTTATACTTTATATATATATGTATGTATGTAATGTGATTTTGTGTTCTCAAATATTTCAAAATGTTTCAAAATAGCATGTACAAGTTTAATACTTTAAATATGAGCAAGTCTGTCTTCCAAACACAGATTCACAATGTTCCATTTTACTATAAGGGTACTGACCAGCTTCTGAGTTTTTTTTTTTTTTTATTGTAGGCATATCCTTTCTGAGATTATCTTTATGTTTCCTTTTATTCTTTCCTGAATAAAAACTTATATTTCAATATTATTATAGATGACCTGGACCATATTATAAGCTTTTATGTATGGAATAGGTTGCTGATACATGTTAGGACTATGTTTTGGTCTGGCTGATCATTCAAATTCTTTCTTTTTTCCAAATATTACCTAAGCAAATTCTTTATGTCTTGATTTTATTCTCAAATAATGACAACTTGTTCCTGACCTGTTTCAGGGTTTATCTATGCATTGCTATGTTAACATAAACTCCACCTGGAACTTTCTACCTTTATACAGACTAAGAATGGAAAAAAAAGAATTAACCCGACAGTTGGCTCCTCCCTGAAAACAGCTTATGTTATATCTTATTAGGAGAAAATATCAGATAGAAGAAGAGTTCCAAGGGATAAAGAGATGAGAGTGGGAACCTTGAAAAGAGGCAAAAGCACTTGAGTAACAAAGACATCACACCCCAATAAACTCCAGCAGCAGATCAACCAAATATGAAGTGATAAGGATGAGGAATATAAACATGCCATCATAGAGAAGATAAGTTAACAAGCATCCACCAAAGGTAAAAGGAAGAAAAATAACAGAAAAGGGTAAAAGGTGTAAGATGAAAGTAAGAAAACTTAAGCCTAAGAAAGACAAATAAAAGACAGAGGATCTGACCCCCCAAGTCTGAAAATAAGACAGTTTAGGAGTTGAAGAAAGGTATTACAGCATAAAGTTATACTTAGTAATATGAGGTGGAAAAGGAAGGAGGATGAGGCATGCACCAAAGTAGCAGTAAAAGTAATTGAATGTGTACTTGCATATCTGGATAGGAAGTGAAAAACAAAAAAGTAAGAAGCAGGGAACAAATTACAAAGTGAAAGAAAGAAACATACCTGAAAAACTCAGTCCCAAAATTATGAAAAAGGCCTAGGTAGATTCAAGACAGCATGGGTACAAGAAAGGCAAATGTAGGAAAAGCTGACAAAAATCCCTTCAATCATGAGCAAGAAATATAGGCAGAAGTATGTCAGGTACAAAAGTTCTAAGCTGCATAAAAGACATCACCACCCACTGCACAAAAGCCATCTCTTCTCCCAACAAACAAAGACAGTATTAAAGGTATTGTCCATTTTTGGATGGAAAAGTGTTCTAAAACTATAATTCTATCCCATGAAAACAGTTCATTTTCCTTTTTTTGTTTTTTAAAGTTATATTCATTTTCAAACTTTTCTGTAATAATTATTTTTACTTCTTTTGAATTGTTTTAGGAATGTCACTAAAATAATAAATTTTAAGCATTATAATACCAGAAGAAAAAATTAATAGAAAAACTAACAGTAAAGTTCTCTTTTGTTTCTCTGTCCAGGGATTTTCTAGTAGTTATGATTCCTGTAGCTGCATCCAATAGAAATTCAAACTCTCCATCTTCACTATTTTGTTGTTCATCTAAAAACTTATAGGCTACTTTTCCATTACTTGTACTAGGATTATCAGGGTCAACAGCAACAACCTGAAACACTGAGGTCCCCACTGTAGCATTCTGAAAACAAACAAAAACAATTAAAACTCTTAAGAAAAATGACAATCACAAGAACTTTACACTAAATAGCCAAATTAAGTATTTAGAAATTGAGTATAAAACTAATCTTGCATTAGATGGACAAATTAAATGTTTAGAAGTTGTAAAAAAATATTTTTTTTATATATCTCCAG